TGCAGTGTGATCCTACTTTGGATAGATATTGGGTTGCATGGAGAACCTAACCGTATGTTAGAGCAGTGCGGGGGCAGGGAGGGGGGATACTCTTGTGGGGTTGGACTGTTAAACATCACAAGATGAAGTAACCTGGTCTCTCCACTAAGTGCCAGCCTATGAGCTTTTCTACACAAGGAATTTATTCTGCACTAGTCAATTTATGGTTGTTTATGTGTTCTATAGACAACGATGTGACCTTCTTGTTTTATTTTCTTTTTTAAACAACACTTTGCTGAGTATTTTTTTTCATGCAAGGAAAATGCAGTATCATATCTGAAAGCAAAGAGAATGCTTTTTCTACTTGTGTAATTGTACTATTCTGCTATGCCACACTGCCACCTAGAGATTATATTGTGACAAAGCAGGAAAGGAAACATTTTGCATAGTGCTTGAACCTCCATTTGGTGATAAAACTGAAAGTAGTTAGAGCAGATTAACGGCTTTATGCAGATAAGCTCCACAATTCCCAACATTTCTAACCCTTGACATGCTGGCTGGGGAAGATGGAAGCTAAAGTCCAAAATATTTCATAAGCTTCAAGTTGAAAATGGCTGAAATCACAGATGAACAGCTTTTATTTCACCACCAAAATGCATGAAGGTACTCTGCTGGCAAACCAGAAGAAGGGTACAAGCAACCCAGAGGGTTACTCCAGAGCAGGTCTTTGCAGGGCTTGTAGTCATGAGATAATTCTTTTTGAAGCAGGGAGAACTTTTTCGGGGGTTGGAGCATTGCTGATCCAGCAAATACACCTTTCTGCTTAAAGCCATCTTGAGTGGTTTCATCTAAACTGTTCAGAGGTGAGACTTTGAAACAAAGAGACCAGCTTTCTGTTTAAAAGAAATAAATTGCCAACTTTTATCAAGATTATTTAAATCATATTTAACAAGAGGCCAGATAAAGGGCAAATAAAATGGTTTACTTAAAGCTTTGAAAGGCAGGAAAGCTATTAGCTCAGAATCCTCAGCTATCATTTTGACACAAAGAAAGCTGCAAGACAGAGTCATTCCTGCAGGGCTTCTGGTAGCTGATGAAAAATGGTTGAGTAACTAACTTCTACAAGATTAGAAAATCTCATTTGCTCTTTTAAGGTTCTTCCAATTCTTTGTAACTGTGACATACTGCCTAATTTTGCAGGACCACCCATATATTCTGGGTTGTGAAAAGTCTGGAAACAGTGACTAATAAAGCATTCCTGTTCTCTAATGGGCAGGCTGCAAGCTGCTATTATTCAGCTTTATGCAGGGCAATATCTTTTGGATTCTGAAGTTCTCTGAAGCTATGATGAAATTGCATGTAACAAAGGATACGAGATCCACACAAAATGGGTAAGTTAAGGAAAGCTGCACAAAAAGTGTGAGCTTGTGTGGGTATGTTTTAAAAAAAGCAGATGGGATGGACTGAACCTGATTCGTTCTCCCGACCTTTTATACACTCCTTTTTGCTGCTCCTGTGCCCTCACTGGGCGAGTCCATGAATGGGTTGCCACAGGAGGCGGTTAAAGCCCCATCGGTGAGGGTGTCTAGACATGCACCTGGTAGGCATGTCATGAGTGGAGCCAGCTGGAGCTGCAGGTCAGACTAGATGGCCCAGGAGGCCCCTTCTGACTCACTCTGTTTCTGTGTTTCTATGTCTCCACAAAAGGAAGTGTCTGATTGATTCTGTTTACAGCTTAATCAAACATAAGCAAGAGAAAGCCTTCCTTTAAAACAGCCCACACGGCCTGCAGCTTTGACTGGCTGGTGCCAAGGAGTTTCTCTCACAGCTGAACAGAAATTAGGAGGAGTCACCCTGCCCCACAGGTGGCTCTCCCCAGATTGCAGGTTTTTCAACCCATTCCCTGCAGCCTGGTCTTGTTAGTGCTGGTGAAGCTGCTTAGGGAGATATTTGGGGTCTGCAAGTGATGGAGGAATGCTGAAGCCCACTCTTTCAACTGCAGCTTTTATGCTCTCGGGGGGGGGGGGTTTCCAGGCAAAAAAGGCCCTGGTTCCCAAGACATGCGTTTGCATGGAAAGTGTCATCTGGCCTTCACAGGAAGCAAGACTCTCAATGTGGAGACACAAAAAAGAGGACGAGAAGCTGGAGAGGAAGAGAAGCAGTTCTCCAAAGCATTGTGCTGTCAATTTGTTAAATGGTGTGTTCCCAAGCCATGACACACGGGATCTTTGAAAGCACGTGCTTTGCATGGGTGTGACTCTAGCTTTGAAGTGAGGGAAGCTGCAAGGGAGGACAGGGCGAATCTGACACCTGCAGTGGAAGGCCCAGTGGATGGGCTCAAGGATGGCAGATCTCATTTCAGGAAGGAAGCTTCTGCCAGGCTTGCTGAATTCTCCACAGAAATATCCCAGAACAGCCAATATACTGTCCAGATGCATGGAAAGGTGGTGCAAATTGACAGCACTATAGGATTAGGGGTAAGAGTGAGCCTTTTTGTTGTTTACATGATGCAGGTCATGCAGTAAATTCTCCCAACGGAGCCTAGTTAAATAAAATGAAGTTATTTTCCACCCACTCCATTCCGCCAGGTGCAATCCTGCCCACCCCCCACCCCATGCACGACAGCCTCAAACGCAGAAGGTAGATGCGGCTAACGAGGAAGGAGGTTGTTATGCACTCCCAGTACTTGCCTGGGAAAGCTTCTGACACTCACTTTGTCTTTGCACTTGGCTGGTTTTGGCATGAACATTGGAAAAGTGACAGAAGATAAAAATGCTGTCTTATGATTTATCACCCTCTTATCTCCACGGTCAAGTGATTGCTGAACTGTTCTTACTACTTCTGGAATGGCAGGAATGTGGCCTCTAGGCGCATGGGCACACTGTCCCCTGGGCTCCTGGATGGGGCACATGGGATCTACAGCAAGAGTGAGCTTCTGCCTTTGCCCACAGCCGGGCTTGATGTGGGCAGACAGACAATTGCAGTGGTGACTCTGAGGCTACACACCTGCTTGGCACGGTGGTTCCCAAGCTGGCCTATAATGAATGCCTACCATCCCCAGTGGCTGGCCATGTTGTCTGTGGGTGATGGGAGCAGTAGTCCAACCCCCTGCTGGGATCAAATCCTCCTGCCAACTGTGCTGTGGGAAAGTGGCAAATGTATCATGAGGAATGTTTTTAAAATAAAACTGGTTGTCCCACTGAGCCTCAAGTCACTGCCCATGCAGGAAGCAACCGGCGGTGTAACTGCATGATCCACGGCTCCGGCTCTGCCTCCTTCCCAGCAGCCCTTCGGTCGGCGGGACAGAGAGGGCGCGACTGGATCATCCAGCGGCTTCCCAGGCAGAGAAGGGGCCACAGGTGCCCTTGCCCTCAGGGCAGGGGACACACGCTCGGAGCAGGGCTGCAGGCATGAGCATGGGGCCCTGTGGGATGTGGTATCCGTGCAGCGCGCCTCCAGTTTTACCTTCTGCAGCAGCAGCCAGGCTTTGGGAAACCTCGGAAGCAGCAATTCACTTGCCTGAATCGAATGTGGCCTGCCAGCTCTGCCCCAACGATATTCCTGTTCTCCAGCAACACCCCTGCACTTGGCGCCCTCCAGATGCGTTCACCTACACAACCTGCCACCCCAGCCACCCCGTTCCGGGGTAGTCTAGCCCATCTGAAGGCATGCTTCCCGATGAGTGGGGCTCTTCGTATTGACAGGGGGTAAAGGAAACGCATTCTGTACATGCTCATGGCATGCATTTGTTCTCATTTTTGCCCCACTAGCACTTCTATTAGAAAGATGATGTTGGACTGATGCAAATGTTGGTATGATTAAGAAAGGCAATTCTTTCATTGTTATACAGTTCTATGTCGCTTCCTCCAGTTGTTCTCTTATACCAGTTTGTAGTTCAGCTGTACATCTCTGCCTACAATTTCCATAGGATTTTTTTCCCTTTAAAAGGTTGATAGAGTAAGTTTCCTCCATAGGAGCAGTACAATGATCCTGGCAAAACCAGATAGTAGAAAAAGGAAATGCATTGAGCTGATCAAGAGCAGGAAGTATATAAGCACAGTCAATGTAGTGGAAACTGAGAATTTCTAAACAAATGTAATGGGGCATACTGTCATGGCCACATGGAGTATGGGTGCAATCCTATGTATGTTTAGGCAGAAAATATACCTTATAATTTCCAGCATGGCTGCCTGTGGGATGCTAGGAGTTGGACTTTTTCCTAACAAAGTTGCATAGGACGGCATCCTAAATGTCTGTCTTCAAAGCTTCTAAGAAGGTTAATGCATCAAAACAAGATTGGGAAGTTTACAAATTGGGCTACAGGCCTATTTGTTTCATATAGAAAAACAGGACTGAACTGCATATTTTTACTACTTTGTGATTATGGAAACTATATATTTTCAGCTGTATCTCCTTGCCCTTCTCCCATGATTGAACTCAAGCTCGGATACATGGGGTCCAGGTGTCATCCTTCTAGGGTTTCATCATGGGTTCCAACTCCAGCCTGCCTCTCTCCCAACAGCCCAGGGATCTGGGTTCAGATGTCATGATAAACATTCCAGGTCTGGGTGACTTAGCTCCTCTTGTAGTGGAGCAATCAAACTGCTGCAACACAGCCTGCTGCTTGCTCCCAGGTTGCTCTGACATGCGATCACAGCCCTTGAATCATTTAAACAATGGAATTAAAAGCCTGGAGCTCACGGAATAACTCAAAGAATGGACTCACCAAGGTGCTCGGCTGCTTGTGTCTAAAGGTACCTGGTTATTTTCATGGAGCTGACAAAGTCCACTCCCTTCTCCTAAGTCAGTGAGATGGCTGGGGTTCCCACACAGCTAGACCGACATGGGCGGTGGCAACTCTTACTTGCTGAAGAACGCAGCATGCCCGACCTTGCAAGGAAGGGGGTGTGCACATTTCCTTGCTACCCCTGCTCCCAAAGCTCGAGCGGGCTGGCTGTATTGTGCTGCGGGCTCCCCGATGCTTCCCAGAATGCACGGCATGTGCAGAAGCAGAGACTTACCGGCGCTGACTGTGATCGCTTCAATGAACTGTTCTCTCCAGCTGTTAGTTCCAACTACAAGAGCGAGGTTTGTTTTCTTGATGAGTTTGTCCACTGTGTTCTGCAGATGGATAGACAAGCGTTAGAAAGCAGAGCACTCAATCTGTTCAGAGGCTTGGACTCGTGCATGGAAAGGTAGAAGCCCTTGTGAGAGCCTTCTGAGAGACGTCGTCTGGCTTCCCGCATTAACACCGATGCAAAAGCAGCAGCTAAAAATGTACATGCATGCAAAAGTTCCAAGTTTGCTTTTTAAAGGGTTGAAATGTATGTGCCAGATATTTGTTGCCACCACCTTCTAAAGAAACTACCGTGCACATTCCCCCCCCCCCAGCCTGCAACTCAGCATTTCCATGCTGGTTGCAGAGAAGTGGAAGCCGTACCTCACCCCCCAACAGATCTACAGGAAATGCCACCTGCTCACACACCTGCAAGGAATTCCAGGCAACAAGGAAAGCTGCTAAATGTGAAGCTGTCAGGTCTGTATTTCAGTCTCCATTATGTGCAAGAACATCCTGACAAATAATTTCTAGAAACATTTCACAGCCCGATCCTACTGATGGGAGCAGGCCAAGCTGAGCTGACCAGGCCCAGCTACTCGTTCTCCCAGTCCAGTGGTGTCTCCAACTTGACCTGCAGTGCTTCCCAGGCTGAAGTTTTTAAAATCATTAGTTACTGAAACCACTTTCATTGAAAAAGACCAGACACTGGATCAGCAATGAAGGCAGATGCACACTAGATGTTTCTCCATATGATTGAAGAATGGATGTGTCCCCTCTCCTGCACGGCAAATACGTTGCTACTTCAGAATACTTCTTTCTGCTGACTAAGGGTGCGATACTGTGAGAATTTAGGCAGAAAAAAGGCCTGCAGTTCCAGCATGCTCCAGTCAGCACTGCCTTATTGGAAGCCTAATTTGATACTTGTCTGTATCTTCTATCGATCTTCTTTAGTTATGTTAAACCTAGGAGCCCAACAGGAAGCTGAGCATTAGTGGCATCTTGTTTTGGGAATCAATGTTAATACTTATTGGAGATTCATAGCTTCTTTTCCTTACAAATGCAACTTAGAGCTGAGTTTTTTTTTTAAAGCAACAGCATGATTCAGTCGGCCTGTCTGGGGCCATATGAAATTGCCCTGGAAGCAAGTTTGCCATCCCTGATTTAAGAGATTTGCACAATATTTGGGGTGAGCAGAACAAAATAAGGTTGAGTGTAAGCATGTGTTCCTTGATGTCTATATACTAATGCCTGGATACAGGAAGCAAACAGCATGAACTTGAATTCTTAATACAGGAGGGGGAATACGACCTGAGAGGTATAACTGAAACTTGGGATGACTCCCATGACTGGAATTCAACAATTGAAGGATATAACCTGTTCAAGAAGAACAGAAGGAACAGAAAGGGAGGGGGAGTCACACTATATGTTAAAGGTAATCTATCTCTGCACAGAAATACAAGAGGATTGTCTGTCTGTCTTTTCAGATGTCTTTTCTGCTAATTGGCCTGAGGGCCCTCTAAGTGGATCACAATAAAAGATGAGCTGAGTTGCCCCATCAAGAGCATCTGGGTTAATGTAAGTGGAGCAAGGAATAAAAGGAGCAGAGTGGTTGGGGTCTTTTACTGACCCCCTAGTCAAGGTGAAGATGAGGTTGAAACTTTTGAAAGCAAACTCCCAGTGTTTCAAGGAGGCATGATGTCGCCATTATGGGGGACTTCAATTTCCCCCATATCCGTTGGGAGACAAATTCTGCCAAACATGGTGCCTTCAAGAAATTCCTAACATGTGTTGTTGGAAACCTCCTCCAACAGAAAGTGGAGGAAGGAACAAGAGGAACAGCTATCCTTGACTTGATACTAACCAACAGGGAAGACCTAATGGACAAAGTGGCAGCTATGGGAACACTGGAGGGACGTGACCATACCATACCTGAATACGTGATTCTAGAGGAAGCAAAAGCCAAATGTAGCCAAACATGTACCTTGAATTTCAAGAAAGCCAATTTTAATAAACTCAGAACAATGTCCCATGGCAAGTGACTCTAATGAGAAAAGGATGGGAGTCCAAGATGGGTGGGGATTTTTTTTTAAAGGAAATTCAAAAGGCACAAATGCAAACAATTCCAACAAGGAAAAAGGGTGGAAGACAACAGAAGATGCCCATGTGACTTCACAAAAAACTTAGAGATGATCTGAAAACAAAAAGGGCATGCATAGGAAGTGGAAGGAAGGCCAGGCTATAAAGGAAGAATACAGGCAGGCAGCATGGAATTGCAGGGGAGGCACTACTGCTCTCCCACACTAGAGATATTCAGAAAGAAACTGGACAGCCTTCTGAGTGGGATGGTGTAACATGGTGTCCTGCAACAGCAGGGGTTGGACTGGATGGCCTTCATAGCTCCTTCCAACTCTATAATTCTATGATTCTAAGGTTAAAGCTAGGAATGAATTGAGGCTAGTGGGGGATGCAAAAACAACACAGAAACTTCTTCAGATAAGACTGAAGTAAAAGAAGAAAGAAATGGGGGTGAAGCTGCTCAATGTGGGTGGCAAAATGATAACAGATGACAGAGAAAAGGCATTAAGTGCTCAATTCCTACTTTAGCTCAGCCTTCTCCTGAAAGAAGATCTATGACCTTCCAGATGAAGGGGAAGTACAAGCTAAAGGAGCAGGCTGGCAGCTCAAGATCGATAGGCAAATGGTCAAGAACCATCTAATTAGGCTGAATGATGAACTTCATCCCAGATTCATAAAGGAGCTGGGAGAAGAACTCTCAGAACCACAGTCTATTATCTTTGAGAAATCATGGAGGACAGAGAAAGTTCCAGAAAGGTAAAAAAAGGTGACCCTGGGAAAGTGGGCTAGATGGAACAACTATCAGATGGATCCCCAGGGGGCTACAGAATCAGACTCAAAGAGTGCTTGTCAATGGGGAGAGGTAACAAGTGGGGTATGGCAGCAGGGTTCAGTGCTCCTCAACATTTTTATTGATTTGGATGAGGAAGTGGAGGGAATGAATATCAGCGTTGCAGAGGACACGAAACTGGGTGGAATAGTTAATACCATGGAAGACCGAAAGAAGATTCAAGGTGATCTTGATAGGTTGGAGTGGTGGGCTGAAAACAACAGAATGAAATTCAATCAGGACAAATTCCAAGTTCTGCACCTAGGAAAAGGGTTCTGCAAGCGAGGAGGATTTTGGAATTGTTGTAGATCACAAGCAGAATATGAATCAACAATGTGATGTGGCTGCCAAAAGGGCAGATGCTATTTTAGGTTGCACTAATAGAAGTATCACTTCCAAATCCCATGAAGTACCAGTTCCCCTGTACTCAGTACTCAGCACTGGTGAGGCCCCAAGTACACTGTCCAGTTCTGGGCACCACAGTTTGAAAGATGCAGACAAGCTAGAAAGGGTTCAGAGGAGGGCAACAAGGGTGATCCAGGGACTGGAAACAAAGCCCTGTGAGGAGAGGACTGGATCTGTTCAGCCTTGACTCGAGAAGACTGAGGGGAGATATGATAGCATTCTACGAGTACCTGAAAGTCTGTAACAAAGAGGAAGGACTTGATCATCCCAGAGTGCCGGACATGGAATAAAGGGCTCAGGTTACAGGAAACCAGATTCTGGCTATATATCAGGAATAAATGCCTGACTGTTAGAGCAGTATGACAATGGAACCAAATACATAGGGAGGTTTGGGCTCTCCCACACTAGAGGCATTCAAGATGCAAGTGGATAACCATTTAGTGTCCTGCACTGAGCAGGAGGTTACCTGATGGTCCTCTGGCCCCTTCCAACCCTACTATTCTATGATTCTGTGAATCAATAGATTGTTTTTTCCAATTATAATGGTTCTTATTCATTTGTGGATAGGAAATTCCTCCTGATGGAGGCCCACACATACTGCAAGCCTTTAATAGTTGATTTCCTTAAGGTATCTTCAGAAAATATAACTGAAAAAGTTTCCAGTTAGAATGCAAATATAATATGATACAATAGTCAGTGCAATGCTAAAATAACCAGTATGGTGTAGTAGATATTGAATTAGACTTGGCCTATGGGTCAGTCACTATCTCACAACCTAGCCAACCTTATAAGGTCATCATGTGTATAAAAGGAAGGGGGAAGGAGCATATATACAGCCCTGAACTCCTAGAGTAAAGTGAGTTTTCTGATTCTGCTAAAATGGGGAAGGGGAATGCTTGGAAAACATGGGAGAAGTGCTGGGGGAGGAGGATATTGTGTAAAACACCCACAAACTACTCACAAGGGCACAATAAATGCCTTGTATAGAGAAGACCAAAGCTGAGCAGGCTGCACTGCCATGTTTTCCTCCTCCAGCAATTCTCTCATCAAGGCCGTCACCTGAGTTTCCTCTATTATTCTATGCTAATAACTCTTAAAGCCCTTGGCTTCAGATGAGTTAAAGTTTCTTAGCTCCTGGTTGTAACTTTTAGATTTCAAAGTCTGAGGCTGGCATGAGATGCCAGAAGTTCCTAATAAGCACCCCTGATGTCTCTTCAGCAGGTATGTCTGCATTCCTTGAATTCCCACAAGCATAGGCGAAAGGGGCTCTGATGTTCAGTGCCCAATTCCTATTTCCAAGCCTTTCTGCTTTTTCTTAAGCAGCAGCAGCAGCAGCAGCAGCAGCAGCAGCAGCAGCAGCAGCAGCAGCAGCGCGCGCACACACACACACACACACACACAATCATGATTGCTTGAAAGTCAGCAGGCACTGCTGGTAAAATCTCAGAAGTCCAGAGAATTGCACAATAAAGCTTCCCATGCTGTAATTATCCCTCTTTACAATGAGAAGAAGTGGAAAAGATTTGTTTAATCTTAATAATTTACACAATCTCCCCTTTCATGGCACAGCATTTTGAAACCTGAGCATTCAAAAAAGAAACTTTATGCAAAATTAATTTTTAGGATTGCTTCTGCTTGGAAAACTGGGTTGTAATAGCATCATAGTAATAAACAAGCATGATGCCTGCACCTTGAACTCATAGGACTCTTCAATAATCACTTCGAGCTTTGTATGCTCTCCCAGGATGGGGCGCCCCATTTCTGCAATGCGGCGCTCTTCCTCCTCTTTGCTTGTCAGTGGCTGCTTCTCTTCATTCTCCTCTGCAAAAAAAAGCAATAAAAGAGCTCTGTAGAGTTTGAGCCAAGGCTGTCTCTGTTCTGCACCCAGCTTCCGTCAAACCGAGTTGCAACCTACTGTTTATGGGTTCCTGCTCTCCACCGCAACAGCAAGAGCACACGGACATCTGCTGTAGATTTGGGAAAGGCCATTAACCAAGGGGCATGCACCTGTGTGCTCGGGGCCAGCTCTTGCTGCCGCAGATGGTCTGCCTAGAAGCACGAGCAATGAGGTCACAGGATCGTAATTTCTCCAAATTTCAAATGGTGGCTCCCTCTACTCACTTGCCTTCACGGACCTAAGCCACACCTTGACAAATGGCCATGCGAGCCGAGCTTTGTGACTTGCACCAACTGAGTGATTGTGAGAGGCACGGATACTGAGACACTTGGTTCCATTCTGCACATCACAGTTCATCACTACATCACCTGGGGTCTCTTCACGCAGGCACTTTTTAGGCGGGATACTCCCGAGAGTAATACAATCACATTTGCCACCCATTCTGAGCCAGTTTTGGGTGATGTATATGAGTCCAAACTCTTGGAAGGGCAAGATCCCCACAAAGTGCATGGCTGCTCAGAAATGCCCTTTGTAGAAGCTCTAACCTTGTGAGCTGATGGGACACGTTGACCCAGGCCCTTGGTAAGTGGCAGGTGCTGCTCTCCCACAATGCAGGATTAGAGTTGCTACCACACAGGTCATTTTCAAGCAGCAAACTGTTTCCAGCCATTGGTAAAGGATGTGCTCAACATAGAGCACGTTTCACTTCATACAATATATTCTGGCAAGAAATGTTCTAAGTACCTGGGTTTTAAAGGGGCTTCTTGCCTGCCACATCTATGTTCTAAAAAACAGGAATTATGATTATTTGGAGCAGAGTGTTTTGTTCTACAAACAGGTCTGGCTGTAGATATAAAGAACATCTTTTAAATGATGTGGTGGTTCTGTTCTGGAATGTGGACCCTCCTTAACAAAGGGACACCTGGAAACCCTATTCAATTCTGCCAATGCAAAGTCCCTCTTGTTAGGAAGAAATTAATCCTTAGCTCTGTGCCAGTCACTTGAATTTTCTTTTCTTTTCCCCTCTCATCTCCCCTTTGTTCTTTGGAAGAAGAGAATTTAGGAGGATTTTAAACACTTGGTTGGTGATTTAAAAAAAGGGAAGGAATTTGTTAACTACCTGAGACAATGGCAACAGAGGGGAGGTAGGACGCACACAATCAGATTTTTATTTCTCTGGAGGGGCATGAAGCCAGTTTTGTTACCAAAAAATGACAGGGAGATGCAGTGCAGCTGGGGTTGCTGAAGATTGCTGCATGGGATAGTGCTTCAAAGAGCCGCAATGTTGCTACAGAAGGCCTAGACGACTGCCTGGGACTGGCTGATTTGATCGCAGGAGTTATGCTTTTTCAGCTGTTGTGTCTCCCAGTTCATTCCCAAGTCCAACTGAAAGAGTTCATATCACCTAAAGTTCTAAAAGGCTTGGGACCAGAGTATATAAAGTCACTTCTCTTTCCATATGTACAGTAGACTCCCAACTATCCAGCCTAATATGGCAGAAGGGCAGGCCGGATACCAAAAATGCTGGATAGGCCGGAGTTCTATAAATGCTCACTTCCTACCCCACCCATCCCATTAAAAACACCCTTTTTAAACCAAAACCCGCTCTTATTCATATTTTCTGACCTCTTAGTACAGGCCAGTACTTTATCAATGTTTGTTATGCACTGTACTGTATGTTTTAAAAATTTATTACAGAAAAAGGAAGTCCAAGAATAAAAATATTGTACACATTTTAAGATAAATTTTATGTCTAACTTAATTGCAGGAAACATAAAATCATGTACACTGTACAGTATGAATACATGCACTTTTAAAATAAACAAAGCATTAATGTAAAATGTAGGCTTAATTCCTACAAAAATTATTGAAACTTATTTTACGGTTCATTGATAGTTATTTTTTAACTAGGCCAGATAGTATGGAGGGCGGACAGTCACGAGCCGGATAGTCGAGTCTACTTCATTTGCTTGGATCCTTAGGGTTACTTTCAGAGGTGCCCCTGCCAAAGGAAAGTAGGTGGGTGGCTACAATAGAAAGGCCTAAACGGTGGTGACACTCCACTTGTGGAGTATTTCCCAAAGAGATTTGCCTGGCATCTGCATTGTTGTTCCACCGGTGCCAAAAAGACCTTTCTTTTCTCCAAGGCATTTTAAGGAACCTGTTATCTAGGTTGCTGACAGGAAGAAAACTGATGCTTTTGAAACATGCTGTGAGAGGAGAGCTTTGCTGGACTGACAGAAGGATGAACAAATATGTCCTGAATCAAATGAAGCCAGAACTTTCCCTGGAAACAAAAATGACAAAACTGGTCTGCCGTACTTCAGGCAGAGCATGAGAAGGCAAACCTCCCTGGAGAAGACAATCATGCTAGGGAAAGTCGAAGGCAGAGGAAGAAAAGGAAGAGCAACTATGAGATGGATTGATTCCCTGAAGGAAGCCCCAGCCATGAATTTACAAGAGCTGAGCAGGGATGCCATGCACAGGGCTATCCTAAACTGGAGGTGACTTGATGGTGTATAACAACAAGTCAAGGTTACTGTGGTTCTGTGGTGTTGATTATTATTGTATTTTATTATTTTAAAGCTTTGTATTGTATTTTATATGTTTAATTCCTCTATAACTTTTTTTAGCTTGTTAACTATTTTCAATCTTTCCAGTGAACATTTCTCTTTGGGAGGATTAGAAATGTAGTAAATGCAGAACAGATCATTCTTTTTCAGTTTGTTATCCTCCAGATGTGTGGGACCAAAAATCCCACTCAGGGAATGATAGGACTTGCACTCTAACACTTCTAGAAGGCACCCCCTAAGGGGTGCAGTAGGTCATGGCTGACCCAGAGAATGCAGTACAAGGTGGATATAAATGTGGAAGGCAGGATGTTTAGCATTGTGTGGACCCTGGGAACTGTGCTATCTGGTTGCCTTCTTGTTCTCTGTCAGCAGTCCTTATGGACTTATCTGGCCTTGCCTGGTAGCAGTGGGTAGGCCTAGGTGGGTGGCATTTGGAGTTACAGGAGTAAGTCTCACAGATGCATTATGGGAATGGTGGCCCTCATGAGATGCTGTGTCTGGACATGGACCTTGTAGAGAGCAGTCTTAAGAAAAAGGCTTAGGGATGACTGAGGTTAGGCCCCCTGGCCAAGTAGTTATAGGGTCCCATAATGGGTAGTGGAATGGAGGGATAGATACAGCCACCAGGATTTAGAACGGCCTGTAGAATTTGTAACCTACCCAGCTGAGCAGAGTTTGCCTGGCACTGCACTACAAAATAGGAAGCAAAAAGGGTTTAATGAGCCCTTGCTGGGCCATAAAGTCTGGCGGGCTAAACATGGGCGGATCTGAGTAGGAAAAGGACAAAAATAATTAACCTTGTTTTGTTTTCATTATCCTGTTGCTCAGCCTTCTCTAACCCAGTGCCCTCCAAATGGGTAGGACTACAGTTTTCACCACCCCCTAACCAGCTTTTTACTCCATGCTGCCTGGGGATGCTGGACATTATAATCAAAACCAAGTTGATGGGAGTGAGAATATTGAGTCAAGCTGTTTGTTAACTTTTATTGGTCCACTGTCTCTCTTGGGTTCAAATCCATAATGATTTCCTTTAAGCAAAGACTTCACAGAACTGACAGCCTGACAGACTTAGGTGAAGTAGATTAGACAAGCCCTTCCATGAGACATTAAGAGGTAGCTTCCTGAAACAGGGGCTGTTTGGGCCCCAGTGACAGACAGCAACTTGTTGGTTATTTAATCTGTGATCTCATTTTTCAGTGGAAACCCTTTTCATCTCTTCATCACCATATAAAGGCATGCACTGGCTGAAGCAGCGTCCTAGCAAACTGGAATACCTTGAATGTTGATTACAGTAGAAGGGAGAGGATGGTCTCTAGCATGTACCTTCCTGAAGACACGCTGGCCTAATGAAATGATGGGCAAAGAAGTAAAGATCAGTGGGTTGGGTTGGGTTTTAATGGAGGCTTTAATGCTTCAGGGAGTTAGGTTCTGTTAGAGGTGAGGAATTGACATAGCCAGTGAATTGCAATTTCTACTCCACACAAGGTTATTGCTGTTATAAATTCTCACAGCACACACTCCTATGGACTCCAAGCCCCTTGGCCCCAGCCAGCAAGGTCAGTGGTCAAGGATAGCAGTAGCTGAAGCCCAGCAACAGCTGAAGTTGCCCAGCCCTAAGCCCTGTCTACTTTCGGAGCCTCCCAGGAATACACTGAGCCATGAATGAACTTGCTCTTGTTCAAGTTCATCAGAAGATTAGACTGACACCCATCACCTTTTGAGCAGTGATCTAATGAGAATTTATTTCCAACTGCACTTTTGCAGCTTCTGTCTGGGTTAGATTTTAAGGGGAAAAGCAATTGCAACTAATAGAAAACTGTACATTTTAGTGCAGCCATGACCTTTTCTCTGTCATTGCTGTGTACTTCTAATCTTCTCTTGGGTTCCTCAGAGCCATGGCTATGCTATATTTATTCCATAGAGAAATTAACCAGAGTGGCTCCATAGGAAAGGGCCGCCTCCAACAACCTGGCTACCAGTGGTGGGGGAATGATGGAATAAATACAGGACAAAGAAACTGTGTGTGTGTGTGTGTGTGTGTGTGTGTGTGTGTGTGAGAGAGAGAGAGAGAGAGAGAGAGAGAGAGAGAGAGAGAGAGAGAGAGAGAGAGAGAGAGAAACATACTTCTTTGTTGGGCCTGCTTGATAGAAGCCATTCCTATTCATTGTCAAAGATACCAGTACATAAGTGTAAAACACCATTAGGGTCAGAGGTCTTAGGCACAGCCCTCTACTTTGCATGGTCTCTGCCACTGGAAAGTACATTTTGGGGTAAGGGGTTGGACAAGAATGGAAAGGGACTTACTGAAGAGCAGTACCAACATCTGCAGTGCTTTTGGCTCAACTCACACCAAGTTTGCATTTCCTAACCAGGATATGTGTGTGTTTCCAAGCAGTGCCCTTCATATGGTAGGCATGTCATAAGTGGAGTTGGCTGGAGCTGGGGGTCAGACTAGATGGCCTGGGAGTCCCCTTCTGACTCGCTCTGTTTCTATATTCCCCAAATTCTTCTTCATTACTGATAGAGGTACTGGTCGCTGGCTGTTGTTTGACAGAATTAAACATATAAATGTTTCCTATTAAATAAGAATGGAAATTTTATGACTTCTAAACAATTGACTCTGGACACTGCAAATAGCTTTTCCCTCTCCCCAGTCCAAAAGGCAGGATTTCCAAATACAAAGAGGCAAGGGCATGTGCTCCAATTGGCACATGGATATTTGCCTTGCAAAACCATTTATTTACAAACATTAGCAATATTTTGTGTAAAACTTGTCATTAACACAGAGCTTGGCCTGCGAGTAACTGTCTGCTCAGAGGTTTCAACAGAGCTCCCTTTTCCCCAATCATAATAATTATTAACAAATGCTTTGTCAAGGACTTCCCACTCATAAGGTGGGTGAGATGCTGATCCAAGCCTTAGCACTCTGCATCACTGGCTAAGTTTACTGATCACTTGTTAAGCCTACTGCTCCATCAAGAAGCTCAAAAAGGTGACCATAACTTCTCTCTTCCTGTAATTCTTACAACAACCCTATGAGGGAGGTTTGGATGAGAGATGGTGGCTGGCCTAAGGTCCCTCGGCAGGCTGAGTGGCTAAGCTGCAGGTTTAGTTTAATTCCCACAGGGTCTTGATGATTTCTTACAACTAAATCTGCTGGCTACTATGATGGGTAGAAGGTCCGGGTAGTGGATCTTGCAGCCATTATGATTAGGGCTGAGTGATGCAGTGCTTAAAACTCCCCTGACTTTTATTAAAGTGACAACCTGCAAATCAAAGAGAGCTATAGGTAACGTGGTACACAGGTCCAGAAATTCAGCTGTAGGCATGATTTTGATCTAGCAGCTCCCTGGATTTTATGCAGTGGCCGTGTTGCCAGAAGAATGGTTTGAGAGGGCAAAAGATGCTTAGGTCCATAGTATCATGAGATTTCTCAAGCTCTGCATTATGCGTTCAAATCATTCTCAGTGAATCGTTGCAGCCTGTTAGCTTGTTATCCTGAAACATGTGATGCTAAGTTTGTGAGAAGGAAACATCACAGCCAGTCATCAAACTGTGTACAAACTAGAGTCTTAGTATGTGAGTTTAATGTTAATCCTAGTGTGCATCAAAGAGATCACTATGTCTTACCATTCAAACATTTCCCTTGATTACAGAAGAAAAAACAAGAAGAAGCCAAGAGGTTAGCTAACAGAGCATATGGTGCCATCTTCTTTAGATATCTCCTTTGGTCTAATCTGGGTTCCGTGTTGGTGAATATTTTATACAAGAGCTCTGCACATCTGATCTGCAAAAGTTGCTTTTTAAGCCTGTTAACTCTGTCTCTTCTCCATCTTTTCTGGCTCAAGCAAGGCAACCCCTTCTGTGCAATTGGCAAGGCATGACCTCAGATTCCTTTCCAGTGTTACAGCAGATGGGGAACCTTGTTTAGTGTGAGGGCTAAACTAAATTTCAGAGAAGCTCTTGGGTGTAACATTCCAGTAGTAGGTGGGGCTGAAGGCAAAGCGGGTGGGGAATAAAGGCAAAGGAGGGGTGCAGCTAGACTGGAAAAAAATCTAGCAACTTTTAGTTTAAAGCTCTTACTGGCTCAGGAGAGGCATTTCATCCTTCTAGAATGGAGAAAAAGAAGCTCACAAAGATAGGAGCCTTGGCTTTAGTTCTGTTTCAGTGATGTTCCTCAAAATATTGCCTCCCCATGCAATGACTGGTGATTTGTGCTGTTTTTGCTTTTTCCTGAATTCAGAGATTTCCTGAACTTAGCCACACCTCTTCTGCTCCCCCAGGTCCATTCTAATCCCTTCTGTGCAACCATTCACAGATCCTTCCCTCTGGCACCAAAGTTGTTTTAAGCTCAATAAATTTTAAAAACTATGGGGCACCTGTATCAACAGAGAGGAAACCTGCAAGCACATTCAGAGTGCAAAAGGGTGCAATTCAGTGGGCAATTCTTTCACAAAAGCCTTAATTCAGTGACTGGGAGGGGACTGCAAGAAGAGCATGAGAAGGACATGCATTTAAAGGTGGCAGCTGTTACTGGTGCATTGTACCCAGATTCTTCCTAGTGTGATGGGTTTGTCGGCCTTATGTCAAAGAACACAGAAAGCAATTTCATATCTCCATTGCAGTAATTCATCTTGAAGCCTTTTAGGGTAGAGAGGGTAGGCACAGGTTTTGGCTGGCTGGAACAGAGGTCTTCCCACCTCAGTAAGAGGATCTACTTTTGCAATGATGTTGGACAGCTCTCTAAGTTCATGCCTCTCTGAATTCCTCTTTGAAAACTTTACGGGTTTTTAACAGAAGAATTCAAGAGGAACACAAGAAGAGACATGAAGACAAAAGACTTATCACCTAGCAGAGGGTATTGATCCTGGAGGTAGCAAACGGGAGCAATTGATGGCCTTCTTATCTGAAATAGGTACAGAATGATGTATGAAAAGGCTAACACTTTGCTGCAGGCCTTCCTTAAGGAGCTTAAAAAGGAGAGCAAAGAAGCAGCAGAGAAAGTGCTTCGTCTTTTACACTGCAAACATACTTTGGAACAAAAAGATAATTATAAATTCATACCTGTAATTGTGAAGCCACCTAGAGGGATTGCAAAAAAGAGAGAGAGAAAGAAAGCAAATAAGCATCTGTTTTGTCATGTGGCACTAATTCAAGCCTCTACTCTAAAATTGATAAGGATACTTCTTAACAGGAACACAGTCGCAAGTGGAATGGGTAAGAATGCTGAATGTTTTGTGTGTGGGATGTGAAAGAAGTATTTCTTCTCACAAATAAATATTATCTAATTATCTAAATTAACTAAGCATTATCTACATTTTATGTATGAAAATCTAATTAAAATTAGAAAATTTTCAAGTCTCTTGCAGACTTCCTTGAAACATTTTGGTTGCAATCCTTTATTCACTTACCTGGGAAGAATCACTCAACGGGGCATGAACTCAACTGGGCACGTTTGAATGGGCATGCACGGGGCCGCACTGTGAGTTCCCTGTTCATTCAAGGCCAAGGTAAGATGGAACAGAGAATGCAGCCCTGGCTCCTGCCTCCTTTGGCAAGTTCTAGAATTGGCAGCAGAGGCCCTTCTCTGGGAACCCTCCGTGAATGATATTAGGAGGGTGAGTACCCGGAGGAGGGCCTTCTCTGCGTTGGCACCCCATCTATGGAATGCGCTCCCCAGAGAGGTCCGCCTGGCGCTGTCGTTATTTGTTTTTTGGCGCCAGGTGAAGACCTTTTTATTCCAGCGATATTTTAATAAGTTTTAATATTGTTTTTTTCTATGTTTTTAATTGTAGCCACTGTGGGCCGGGGATTTTATTTATGTACATCTTATTTTATGTTGTAAGCCGTCCTGAGGCTTTTTGCGCATTAGGATGGCATACAAATATTTTAAATAAATAAATAAATAAAAAATAGAATTTCAAGAGGGGCAAGGTGACATCGCTGTGGGGCAGCGTTCCCTGCCTCCATGCCACCCGACCCACCATTACTAGCAGGGGGCAGGCAGGGATCGTCACAAGCCAGTGCTTCCACTTCACTCACGATGATTCCCAGATGGTTCTGGAGGAGAACAAATGAGGAGAGTGAGGGCTGCTATTCTGGTGGCTGCCATACCTTAGCGTAATTCTAGCACTAGCCTAAGAAAGGGCAACAGTGTATCATATTTCAAATGTATTTACTTTCTTTTTAGATCTTGGTCATTTTGAAAGCTTGTGGAGAAGCTATTCCATGGAGCACAAACTTCACATGCAGCCCTCATTTATTTCAAGTAACAGCTGGAAAGGACCTTAGAGATGGACGTAGGAAGATGCCTTCTGCTGAGACATATTTTTGGCCCATCTAACCCCAGTACTGTCAACACTGACTGGCAGCAGCTCTCCATCTGTCATCAGCATTCCTTCCTAGCCTTGGGCTGGATTGAGCTTGGGTGTTTCTGCATGTGAAGAATGAGCTTTACCACCAAGCCGCTGTTCCTCCAGCTGCAGTCCTTTTCTAGATGGGACTACCCAGTGATCTGATCCAGTATAGGACAGCTTCCTATATTAATTTTTAAGACAGCTCCCTCTAACACTGAACAGGC